ACGTAGTCGGTCGTCCGACAGCAACGATCGCAAGTGTCGCACAGCATTAGGTGCGTATCGATCGTCAGAAGTGCGACACTTACGATCGTTGCTGTCGGACGACAGCAACGATCGCAACTGTCTGACTGTCTAACTGCATCTAATCGTCGAATACTCAGGCAAGTCCGACGATCGATACGCATCCAATGCTGTGCGACAGTTACGATCGTTGCTGTCGTCCGACCGACTATGCGTGCGCCCTATGGGCCGGACGCATAGTCGGTCGGACGACAGCAACGACCGCAAGTGTCGCATAAACCGCGGTCGCAAATGGAAGGCGACGCGGTCACCCAATGCAAACCCAGACAACACGTGACTGCGCGTGATCGTATTTCGAAAGTCCCACTGTAGTGTGGAATAGTAGCTGCGTATTGATCTTGCAGTCGTTGCTGTCGTCCGACAGCAGCAGTCGGACGACAGCAACGACTGCAAGTGCCGCAGATCGATACGCACCCAATACTGTGCGACACTTGCAGTCGTTGCTGTCGTCCGACCGACTATGCGTCCGGCCTGACGCACACCCCAACGTTAATGACGATGCGCAGCGCGGAAGAGGTTTTCTTGCGGCGAGCTCTTCGCCTGGGGAATCGGTCAGCTTCCCATGAGATAGCGGCTGGGACCTGAGGTTCCCGTAGCGAAAAATGTCTACCACGCAAAAAGCGGAAAAATTGCGTGCTGTCCTAGCGACCCACACCCCTATTTCGAAGATGTCAATTTGCAGCGAAATAGTAACGGCCCCCGGGACTAAGCGTAAGAGGTGTAGAAGAACAGAGCGTCGCGCTACTGCGTCGTATACCTACGACATAGCATCAGATCGACCTTTTTATTTCTTTGGCCGTATCCCATTATTTCGCTAGGCTAGAGGAACAAAAAATCCCTTCAAATTCTCCTTGTCTTTCCAAGAAAAACTGCCCTGGGGAACTGCATATTTGTAATGTATATATGTGTGTAAAAGCAAATAAAGGCGGAAAGTAAGAGAACTATGTCGTTAAAAACAAATAAATTCACATGACTCTTTTCTTTCCCTGGCATGAGGAGATAGGATACGGCCCTACCAAAGATAGCGACAAATATTCCCAAAGAGTCGGTACAAGTTGTGTTCCTATAGATTCACACCGGTTAGTCCATTGATGACCACCGTTGTGCATGGAATGCGGCAGCATTTTTCCTATTTTTTCAACACTAACCGTTTTCCGTTTGGAGATTTTATCACTAGTAATGAATGCACTGTTTCCACACCCTACAATGTAAACTGGCTGGCTTTATTTATTTGGACACGACCAATGCCAAGTAATTCGCAGAACGACCCCGTGTGAAAGGGTAACCCGCAGGCGCTATGCTGTCGTCAATGGGTTAAATCTGGGAGCTGAGTTTTACTAGGAAGTTAGTTATTCAAGTAGAAGGCGAATTCAACAGAAACCTGGGATTGCTGTTGTATTGTAGGTTCGGGCGAATTTCTTTCATCTGTATTCTCATTCAATGAGTTTCAGATTTCCACTCTTGGCGTGTAGGAGGAGTGCCATTGCCATCAGTAATGGAAGCCGGGATTTATATAGATGACGGTATGCTTATTAATTTCACTTCTCATTGAGTTCCTCATGTAATGGAATGGCTCTACTGATTACACTTTGTTTTTACTCTTACGGGTGTGGTTCGCTAGGACGGAAAGCGACTTTCGCTTTTCGCAGCAGGAACATTTTTCTGCTGCGGTCTGTCATGATCAGAGATAAACCCGAGAGTCCCCCACAGCGACAATTCCGCGCTGCGAAAGCGGAAAGTGCTTGGTCTGCTTAGCGAGTCCACACTGCTTAATCACTTTCGGGCGGACCGGAAAGTGTGGCTCGGGGGGGGGGGGGCACTCTGAGAAAAGTCATCTAGGACTAAGCCTAAACAGCAGGGACGAACTCCGGAGAATACGAAAATTGCTTCCGTACACCGGAGTTCCTCTCCTCTTCAAAAGCTTAGTCCTAAAACGGAGCGTTTCCGTGATTTTGACGCGATGTTGCGAGGTGCCCCCCCCGAGCCACATTGCGCCGCCTCGTTCGATTCAGATCGCTTGGGAATGCGGCATTTTTTCATTTTCAGAGAAATTTTCGGTAACGGGATGATCCCCGATCTTTCTCTATTACTGAGTGGAACCAGACTGAACTTAGTTGTTATTGAGAAGAACAATTGACGTAGGCGCAAACAGATCATGTTGATCGGCCGTGGTGTTGACTAGAAACCACCTGTCTTTATTGAGTTTTGAATTGCAATTTTCTTGTTGCGAATTCGACAGCCTCGGCTGGGAGGTTGCTAAAGGCATTGCTTCACAATGGAGTTGAAATTAAAGAAAAACAAATATGGCCCGAGGTAGGAAGTCAGGTACATCACATGAGGAGACAGTTATGAGCTGACTCTGTTGCTGGCATGCAAAAGTGAATAGAACCAGCAGTGTGGTAGGACGTTTCGACCCTTAATTGCTGAGCGGAGATGACCTCAGTTGTAGCTGTTAAGCCAGAGCCGATGTCAGACTTTGCGAATCGCGCGATTCGCTAGCGTCCGCGGTCGCGTTGCGGTACCAGCCAATTGAGTGATTCACTGGCCGCGACGCGACCGCAGACGCTAGCGAATCGCGCGATTCGCAAAGTCTGACATCGGCCTAAGGGTTTCTAAATTTACTACATGTATTACCCGTGCATTCTGTTACATGCATCACTTGTGCAAGGCCACAAGCGTAGCCCGAAAAAAGAAAATTTGAAATCTGTGACACTGCCACAGCGGCGATTACAATATCGACTTAAGAAGTTGATTTACAAAACTAAAGGTGCTGAACAAGTAGTAGCAGCAAAAACTAACCTTGTTCGATAAAAAACCTCTTAGTATTATGCTGTCCTAGAGCCTCATTAGGACCTTAACATATTGTATAACACAATGAGACGTTTAAGAATTTTATTCAAAACAACTTCACAAGACTTCCAAGTACTTCAAAATTTTTAATTTTTCTCAAAAAAACAAAAGAAACCTTGAATAGTTATAATATGCGGGCAGCAAACAGTTTAACCCTTGGTATTATATTATACGTAGTTATATGAGGGATATTCAATGCATCAAAGCTATTTACAAAGTGGATGAACTGGGGCTGTAAAAATCAGCGGATGAAGTATTTCGTTCTCCTGGTATATCGAATCCAGCTGGTATTGGATAAACCAAATTACCTGCCTTTTCACTTTCCTGTGCTTGGATGCCAGCCATCTTCCGTTACATAAATTGAAGGTTTTAGGGTCGGGAAAACCTTGTATTGTATCGGATGTGCCTGTGTTTTACCTTTATAATTCACTGGAGGAAGCTTATAAGAACGAAGGAAAGCTACAGAACTCCCGGACCTACAATATCTTCTCGTTTTGAGGTAAATTAATAATAATTTCCTACACTTTGTCCCGCTCATCTTTGCGTTCAGGAGTTGTTAGCGTTTTGCGGGCATATGAGATGATCTTATTAAGACTTTCTTCGATTTCTTTCTTCGGCCTCGAATAGTCAATATTTCCCTGGATCGTCCTTAAACTCTTCCTCTTCGTGTCGCTTACATAATTAAGGTCTCAGGTGCATTATTCTTCCTATTCGCAGAGCTCTGTGAGAACCTGCAACCTACCTTCCACAAGAAATTATACGGATTTTTCTGCTCGCATTAGTCATAATTAACTAAACTATTGGGATTATTAACTGGTATCTGCGTCACTTCCTTTTCGTAACGTTTCCTTGAAGTAAACTACTAATTCTAGGCACCACCAATTATGTTCGATGCACCTGTTTGCATTCTTCTTGAGTCAGAAGTCATCACTAGAATGCATACACGTAAGTTTTTTTGGCTCTACAATATCATCTATTTTCGTCTCTACAACATAAAGAATGTGATCATTCTCAGACAGGCACACCCTGGCTCATGAACGAAGATGCTTCTCTTTTCCATATTAACAACCGTTGTCCAATCAAGGTACCTTTTGAAGCAGAAGAGTTCGAAGAAGTAAGTGCGTGAAATTGTTTTTGATAGATTTGCATAATTTTCGTTTTTGAAAATTGTTGATCACAAGAACTTTTCAGTTCCTTTTTGCTCTTGCACTGTTAAAGAGTGGGAGAGATCTGGGAACGTTTTCTCCTGTGTCACTTTGCAGCATATTGAAGGTATGTATTTATCTCTAGCAGACAACCCTGTATGCTTATTTTCTGTTTTAAAGGTATTATTTATGCACAGTCTCCCCCCCCCCACCACACACATGAGTGGTCCCCACTTCGTAATGCCTAAAATCTTGCATTGCTTTTTCTCTCATTAAGAATCCTTATCTCGAACATTTGCTATTACAACAATCCCGTAAATTTCGCTGAAACGCTTTTGGTAGGAGTCCGACTCGGGCATATATCGATTCTTATGATCGAGATGCAGGTTACCTTTGATTAGATCGTTTTACCTTGTTTTTCTCTCCAAAGCCTAATCTGCTGCCTCAGGCTTCAAGCAGTCACGAGATCATTTTGTCGAGTAACTTTAGGCAAGTGAAAAGGCGGAAATAAAAATGTATTGATAAGAGCACACTGTCACGCCGCACGAGCTGCGTTACACGGTTATGGTAGAATAGCTCGTTTTAGTAGTACCCCAATTTTCGAAATTGTCACCAACTCAATTTTCTGTAATGAGAGAAGGTAGAAGACGGTGGTAAAATAATAGTGAGTGACGTATGACAACTGTTGTCCCTTGCTGTTGAGGGGTACAGGGCCCCTCCATCGATACCATCATCCGGAGCCACTCCCTCTCTCGAGGACGTGAACTCGCCTAACTTTGCTTGGTGTTCAATCCTTGCTTCCGAACACCCATACCATTTGGTCGTTCACCATTTAGATCTCCCGTCAACTCGCCGCACAAATGCATCATTGGCTTCTCTGCATTGCCCCTTATATTCCCTTGAAAAATGCGATGTCGAAAAAGTTTCTGTTCTCTAGTCCACTCCACTCAACAATTAACAGGCCAAAATTATGCAACAAAGTACGTTCAAGAAAATGAATTTGAATTGTTACAAAAGGTTCCCAATAGCTTGAAAAGCTGTGTTGAGCCCTTAAAATATCTATTAGTCTCGACGGAGTTATTTCATACGGCCAATGCAGAAGTGCAAAGAAGCAGGTCCATTTCCAGCTGGCTGACTTTTTTGAATGTCCGAATCTGATGCGCTACGTCTTCTCGCATCTTAAACAATCTCCTTTCTGAGAAATCTCCGTCGGATGTGTGTGAAGCCTTCGATATACACAACGACTTCAGTCAAGTTCAAAAGCAGCAGGTCAGTTTTTTTTTCCAAAATGATTCGCATGGAGCTGAGATGGTGGGCTGTGCGGTGGTGTCGTGCTTACTACGCGCGCGGTCCGAAGATCAAATCCTAGGTGTGTGTCGAGAGCAACGTAGACCTCCAAGGTCGGTTAATTAGTACCAGACTTCTTTGGGTGGATAATAATACTGATTTGTACATCGGGCTGGCTCCCGCATGTCATTGTATAGGCCGAATCGCATTCAAATTGCCACTATTTCTGAATAGAAGGATGGTATTCGTGGCGCTACCGAAACAAGAATTATCAAACGCTCATGCATTATCCGTATTTTATGCTTAATTCCGCATCAGTGGGGGCAGGGAGAGGCTTTACATGGTTCTGGGCCATTTAGGCATGTTGTTTTTCATCATCCCGGCAACATTGACCACCTCTATCTACGAGGGGAGGTCGTTCAGGGCGTGGAGCGCTTTCTCAAAATGGTTTTTCCTATGATATAGAGGGATGTGCCTGGAATACAGAACTGTGGTCCATTTCCGCTAAATGGCCCACTGAATGCCAAAAAAGGGTGGGAAAGTGGTCCTTGGTTCGATTCCCCGCGGTGACAAAATTTTTGCACTGTGATTTGACGCCACAAAATTGGCACCGAAGAACGCCAACACCAGCAATTGATGTCATAATTACAATTAGGCTTACAAAAACCCTTACAAGTGGGCTTTTACCAAAAACTGGTGAGAGAAAGTTGTGACGCAAAAACTTCACCAAGGTGCCGTCGAAGAACGTCATAGGGGTCCGAAATGATGTCGGAGCTACAAACGAATATTGTATTCGTAATCAGGGCACCTGATAACCCTTCTAGTCGATGTTTCTAAGAAAATCAAGATTTTGGCCCGACTTCGAAAATTTGCTAGATGAATAAGTAAACTCTGTGGCAAGTAAAGCTCGACGATGAACTTCTTGGAAATGACATCATCTAGATAGTCCTCAAAAAATGAGAGATGCTCCTGCCGAATAGACTATAGCAGACAAGCAAGCTGGTGTTGGTCGGAGGGTCACCACAGTGCAGTAGTTTTCTGCCAGTTTTCCGTGCGGAGCTCGCCTCCGAGCGAGTGGGAATACTTGAAGATTTACTTATGTCAAGTTTTCGAAGTTAGACCAAAGATGCCAAAGATGATTTTCTTCGAAACGTTGGCACCAGAGGTAAATTGGTGCTCTTGTCACGAATGTGGCATTGTTTTTTGGAGCCGCCGCTATCCGGCGAAATTCCAACGGTACAACTTTTTTTTGCCTGCTTTCGGTGAAAACTTACCTAATCTGGGTTATCAATAGTTCTGGTCTTGAATAACACATCCATTTTGGCACCTGTGCTATTTGGAGAAAACCGTGAAGTGCCTACAAAAAATGCAAAAAGCCCGACGCCTCGGGGATCCGAACCACCAACCCAGACCAAGCGTGCCAATCGAAATCCACATCGCTAACCACTACACCACCGACGCTGCTGGAGGATGTTGGCCAAATGCTCTTATGGAACTTCCACACGCTCTTTAGTACACAGCATGACACCACCACGACAACTTTCAATTTTGACCAAACTTCTCGATGTTTTCGAGACACACCTTACGAAGACCCTCCATTACGCAAGTAGTCCACGCCATGAATGAAACACACCACTTTTAACAAGTAAAAACTGCAGTTTCCAACAAAATGATTCTCACTCCTTTTTTGGCATTCAGAAGGCCATTTAGCGGAAATGGACCATAGATCTGTGTTCACTGCACCTGCCCCTATTTCATGCAAAAAACCGTTTTCAAAAAGCGCTCCACGCCCTGAACGACCTCCCCTCGTTAGTGTTTGCTCCTTCTACTCATAACTCCGCCTTTTTACAAATATCCGAATATGCCCTACTTCAGCGAGGATTCTTTTAATCTTACGAACATCCCAGTTAGGTTCTCATCGTTTTTTATATTCTCTGGAGTGGATAAGTGTACTTGGAATAATACACCCCCCGGCCGTACATATGAGGCAAATATTGTTTTCACTGAAACAATCGCGTAACAATCACTTCCAAGGTTCACTACAGTGGAAGCAACTGAAATTTTTTCTTTCGAGACACGTTATTTTGATGGAATTCTACCACTGTGCTTCCCGATAAGTTAAACAAAATATTGAAATTTTATCGTATGCAAATTTCGCACAATTATTTTTTTCGCATAAATTTATAATCCGTGGTTGTAAGGTGAGACGGCCGCGCTTGCAAAATCGTCCATTTTCCACGCAGCAAAAAGCACCAAAACGCGCGCCGTCATCAACGTGTTTAGCTACGAGCCATTGATTCAAATTTAAGTCAATGTGTCGGCTAGGAAGCAGTTTTATGATTATACTGCTCCCATATATAACAAGTAAGCACAGCAGAGGGAGATTTTTCTGACTTGCTCGACAACCACTTACTTTAGGTTTTCTGTCGCTCTGTGAAAGTGAATGCACCAGGGTTTTTTTTTTACATCTTTCGATGTCACAGTTTGTTCGAAATCACAGATTACTAATTCTTTACCAGATGGGTGTCAGCGCGACACGAGCTTTTTTTCGTGAGAGGCTCCATAGTCCACAAGGAGCGCGAGGATTTCGATTGCCGTGCACCGTAACTTCCGCCTCCCCCAAATGCTCAGCACACGGTGACTCTCAGCGTCTGCTAGGGCACATTTTAATTGTGGGAAGGTAACGCTCCACATCCAGGCGTGGATATCTTGATAGCTTTCCTATGGCTGGTGTCAGAGTCCGCGATCCGTCGCAGGTTTCGCTGATTTCAGCGATTTTCGCGATTTGCGCGACGGGTCACGGTAACCACAAGTGCCCCATCAATACTGCAAGGTGTTCTCCAATGCCGCCGCCACTTCTGCTTGATAGTGATGGCTGAATGATGTTTGATATTATAGAATCTAGAATTATAGGATAGAATAGGAACGAATCATGAGCATTTCAATGAACTGATAGACATTGAACATGAAACAAGTAGAACACGAACAGTCGTCTTTCAATCTTCACTGTCAAGCAGAATTCGCAGCAGGATTAAACAGCACCTCGCAGTATCATCGGGCACTTCCAACTCCTGTGATCCATCGCAGGTTTCGCGCAAATCGCGAAAATCGCTGAAATCAGCGAAACCTGCGACGGATCGCGGACTCTGACACCGCCTAGAAAGCATTTCTGCTTTTGAGATGAAATTGTTTCTGCAAAAAAGCATTTACTTCACTTTTTGTGTTAAGCATCTAGGTTAATCCCTCACTGCGAATGTCTCTATTTTCGTACCTGTGAAACTTTAAATGGGGAAGAAACTGAAATGTCATGTTCCGATGTCAGACTTTGCAAATCCAGCTTGCGTCCGCGGACACGTTGCGGTACCAGTAGAGCGAACTGCTCGGTTCCCCAAGTCTGACACCGGCCTTTTTCTGTTGTGTATTTACACAGCCAGTCTCTATGTACTCAAAATAAAACGAAATTAATTACCCTTGAAAGCAAGGTAAAGAGCTACGCAACAAGAGTTGCCACTGTATCACTTCGAAGCTTAATTTCAGATGGAACGCGAAGGCTTATGGCATTTCAACCACTCCCTTTGAAACTCTGGTCCTGTTCTTGTGAAATCTTATGGTCCGTGTAATATTTCTGTCAAGTCTTCATTCTTGTATATGATGTACCATTTATTCAAGCTGAACAGATAATTATTAATATTCTATATGTTTAAAAAAGAAATCTACTTAACAAATGTAGCCAGCGCCATTCAATAATGATGACGCCAGCAGTTAACCGGCACAACTACGCATGGAATAGACCACACTGTGGTACAGTAACAGTACTAAACATGAGGTAGCACTGTACAGCCAATACATAAACTACCGCATTTACATAAAAACCGTGATCTCTTTTGCAAATGAAAGGTGTAATGTAGCCAGCACATTCGACGAATGTCGCGTGCTTACTGCATTACATCTCCCAATGCACACGACACCCCTAATATTTGACTTACTCGGAATGAGGAAAGGTTAAAAAATCAAGTCCTACGAGACAATAAAATCTCTATGATTACGCAGTGCTGCCTACATGAATAAGTACGGTTTTATGATTAAAAACAGAGTTCATGCGTTCACAATCTGTGAGATGATCAAAACGGCAAAGCCACCATAAGCAAATTAACTCGCGATACACAAATAGTTAGGATGGAGTATCAAGCTAGTCAACCTCCATTTCTCCAGGTTGCGGTGGAACTGTTCCAGGGTTATCTCCAGCAGGATTACCATTCTCGGGGGGCTCTGCCGGCTTTTGTTCCTTCTTCTTTGGAGGTGGTGCTGGCTTCTTCTTGTTCAAAATCGGTAGCACAACTGCTTCAAATGCCTGAAAATCTCAGGTAATTCTGGGACATCACAACCACCACACAATCCAAATAATCGGATGTTTAGCGATCTCATTGAACCAGTGAAGGAAATAAGCAGAAAGTAACGCAGTTGCTACTCATTTTTTTTTCGTAGCTGCCTGTAGCTCACCGCAAAAAGGGTTCTCAAGCATCGCATTGAAGTAGGTGCAGAAGAACAAGTCAAATGCATGAAAGACACACCTGTTGTTTCTGTGCAATTTCATATGCGAAAACTATAGGCGGTTCAGTTTTTGCTCTCCGTTCCTGCTTATGACGGGCTTCATCCAACCAACGTTTCTTTTCCTCAATGGCGTTTATAACCTAAATGTTAAAAAATCTGTAGTTGCCGTCTTCTGACAATGATCACTGCACTTACCTTCTCCATATCGGCGCTGTCAATGTGAGCATGTGCTTCTCCACCAGCCACATAGTCTTCATAGGCCTTGCGAGCACGAATAATGGCGGTGTCAAAAGCGTCAAACGCTGGCTGGAAATGGTTGAGTGAGCAGAGCTCTCATTACAGAGAGAACCCAAACCAACCTTTCTGGCTTCAGCTTCTCTATAGCGCTCAACAATGGGGTCTCCATATTTTCTCAACTCATTAAGGCGTTGTTCGTAAACCTAGGAACAAAAAAAAATAGTCGAAGTTATTAAATTACATAGACCATGTGCAAACCGGTTTTTCTGCGTCTTCACCCTCGTCATAGAGCCAGTCTTCCGTGTTAGTTAAGTGAGCCCGGAATGCTTCAGCATCCTGCATCAAAATTTTCACAATAATGTGGGGAATTATGTCCAAATCATAAGCACTACTCAACAAAAGTGCTCACCGCTTCAGTAACGAATTCGACAAGAGTATCCGACAATTTATCACGCATCTCATACACGTATTCCTCCACCGCGTTTTTGGCATCCGCTTTGTGCTTCTCTTGGAGGTCCGCTGCTTGCATTGCTAGCTATAACATTTGAGTATTATATAATGCATAAAAACACAGCCCCAATTTGATTTAAAATAACCTCAACGTCTGTGAATTTCTGAACATCGTAAACAACTGGCAATCGCTCTTCAACCACTAATTCCGTTGCAATAGTCTTAGTTTTTGGTTTTGGAGGCCCTTCAGGTTTCGCAGGTGGTGCAGCAGCATCAGCCGGTGCTCCTGGAGCAGGCTGCTCCGTAGAAGGAGGTGGTTGCGACTCTCCATCTTGCTCCATAGGTTGTTCCTGTTGTGGAGGCGCCTCCTAAAAAGGATCTCCTTGCCTTCCTTAAACATGATCTGAGACCAGCCACTTACCTCTACGATTTGCGTGTCGTACATGGTTGCCGAACAGATCGTAAAAATACCGTTTGGATTGATTCGAACCTGTTCAAAGAATAAGTTGTGTTCATTTGTCCCGTCACTAGCGCATTATGGGGAATGCGAAGTCAACAAAAGTTCGGATGATCTCTATAAACTTAGTAGCAACCCTTTACACATGGAAAAAGTTGAAGTTACTGCACGGGCAAAAACATCAGATGCAAGCCCTTACCTTTATCTTGACTTTACGCGGCTGACCTTCGGCATTTGGCGACACTCCAGTGATGCGCCACGAACCTGTGATGAAAAGGATTATTCTTAGTCTCGAACTCAACTCGTTTCAACCTTCGCAAGCACGATCTAATCGCACTCGTGAGGATTGAATAGCTCCGAAAAAGAATACTCTTTTCAGATGCACCCAAAACCGATTCTAGGAAGGATGAGTGCAGAGCCAAACCAAGGACTATGAAAAATCCCGCCCATATGGAAATTATCAAAATAGCTAATAGACAAGTAATTAAGAAATTACCGACGGTAGTTGTTGTATGTGGAACAGTATTCGGCAGCGCATATCGAGCGTCAACTTGGAAGGCATCTGCTCGATACAGTGAGTCCATTTTAGAGAATGGGAACTCATCTCGCTCCACAAAAACGTCGGATTCGCTATAATTATGCAATAGTTCACGCTTCTTCACATCACATTTGTTCGACATAAATGAGCCTAAAAAAACGTTATAATGCAGAGATGCGATATAATCTCACCCGCTTTCTGAAGCACCACCGGACCAAGTAATCTTCACACGATATGGCTGAGAATCCTTGACAGAAAACTCTCGAACACGGAATGCAGGCGAAAGAATAGCGCACTGCATAGCCGCACCTGAATATAATAATTGAGAATTTACGTTCGTTGAATTACAAAGCGATAATGGATCAAGGGGCCATATTACAGAAATAGGGCCAACCACCATTGATCAAGTCAACGTGAGGCGAGATCGTAGCATCAGGCTGCGGCGAAGGTTAAAAGCTCAAAGGGTGAAGTATTTGGTGGAAAATGGCAAGCGACCGTGATTGCGGTAGAGGGATCCGTTGCTTGACGGCATTCTTTGCGATATAAAAGCCTGAGGAGAGAAATTTGCCTTTTCTTACAACACAACGACCGCTCCTCGACGCCCGTTTTGGAGTGAAAATGGGGACGGAGTTGGGCTACTGGCTGGTTTCAAATCAAATACTACAGAAACAGCCATAATGTGGAGTACGGTGGTAGGGGTCATGTTGCGGAATCCCCTTCCTCTTCCAAGGACGATTGTTTGGTGGGATGGCGAGGGGAGCGTCAAGTTTTCGAAAAGTACCAACGCTACGGTTGACCCTGCAAGGAGGACATGGATTCGACTGGATACGTGAAACACGATATGCGATTCACTGGGACAAAGTAATGGAATGAGTTACCTCTTGCAACAGCTTCATCGAGATTCATAGTTGTCTTGGGGTCCTTGTTAAATACATCCTGTACAATGCGGCGAATTATGGGAATACGCGACGAGCCACCAACCATTTCGATTTCATCAACATCCTCTCTCTACAAACCGTACACAATTAAAGACTAATAGGAGGATACATATAATTGAGGGTAAAAACTCACCTTCACGCCTGTTTCTTGAAGAAGCCTGAGAAGCAGCTGTCGAATTTTTTCGAACTGTGGAGCAGCTAGCTCTTCAAACTCAGCCCTAAAAATACCCTTTACAGCCAAAAAAGATATTAAAATTTGCACAAAAGGAGAACAGTGTTACCTTTGCATTTTGCCCGTAACATCCTTGTCATGAAGGAAACACTCAATATTAAGGGGGATAGGAGTCTGATTTGCTGACATCTGCTTCTTCAACTTCTCACATTCATCCAGAAGACGGAGCCAAGCTCGCGGAGATTCTTTTGCATCGATACCTGTACCAAAAGTTACATAATTCAAGGGATTTGAAAAAAGTCGCGCTCTCCTTTAATAAATGATAACCGATTACATATGTTTAAGATCTCACCATATGTTTGTTGGAACATTTGACGGAAACGATCTCTGATTAAGTCGTCCAACCAAAGACCACCAACGCTAAGATCATATGTGGTTCCGAGCATCTGTAAAAAGAATATAAGGGTTCACGAATCTGCGTACCCTCCACATGCTCGCGTATGGACTTGGGAGCAACTGCAAGTGCACATCAATTTCCACTTCAACGCTATGAAAAGTCCACTGAGCATTATAGCGATCGAACTTGATTAGTATAGAAATGGGCTCATATTTACCAGCTTTCGAGATAATTTCAGCAAATGCAATGCCCTTCAAAGAGTTTTGGAAGTATGAGCAAACAAGGATTATTTATTGGCTTGTGAAAATAAAGTGCCTCTACGCATGAGCAGGGCGGAACGACATAAAAGGAACAGTACAACATTACGCTGTTATGTGGATCTCGCGCCCCGAAGAAAAATTCCGAAAATGAATGATAATGTAAGAGTTTTAAAAGCACTGGGATCGGAGACAATGAATGTATCCAATACAACTTGACAACTTGCCAGACTGCCAGGAGCACGTTCACTTTGAAGTCGGCATAGCGCGACGGTGGTGCCAAGATTTTTTGTGCTTTTCGATGCCCTTTCTCTTTAGTTTCCTACTTTAGATAAAAAAAACAGTATGATTCAAGGCTAGGTGTGGTTCGCTAGGACAGCAACGGATTTTCCGCTTTTCGCATGCGAAACTTTTTCGCGGCAAGAACCCCAGGTCCACCCATGATCAGCGGTGGACCTGAGGTTCCCGCAGCGAAAAAGTTTCGCGCTGCGAAAAGCGGAAAATTCGCTTTCTGTCCTAGTGAGCCACACCCTTGAAAGCTCATGTCCATTTTGCTAGGCAAAAAATTCACACAGTCTTACATTACCCACTTCTGTTGGAACATTCGCATAATTCAGAAATCGAAACTGAAGATTCATTGCACGAAGTCTAATATATTGCAACGCACCTGGAGCTTGCCCTTATTGAAAGCCACGAGACTAGCTTGTGTAAAGCGTGACCAACATCCAAAAAGACTACATAGCGTGCACGAGCTGATTCCTCGGGCAAATCTTGTTTATAAATACCTGAAAGAGTGCATTGCCCTTGAAAGACTAAACTATTGGAAACATCATTTCTGCAAAAGCTCACCATATGCAAGTCAATGGCGTTCTTTCATTCATTACTCGCAACCGCATTAAATGCAAATTGAATACAGCTGTTCCCGCGCTGTACATCCCCTAAATAAGAGGAACTAAAAGAATGAATGAAATATTAGAAGACTTGACACCAACTCACAACAATGAAACTACAGCTTACTTTTCATACAAAAAAACGACACGTCGTCACAACGCAAGATTCGGAACTGTTCCACATCCTGAGTGACTTTCTACTATGTCCTTTAGTTTGGTAAGAAGAGCTGCCAGCACTTGTTCTGGTGTGAAAATAGCTTCTCGCCCTTGATAACTAACCTAGAATTTTGCAGATAAGAACAGAAGCATAGAAAAACGGTTTGAAAATATAGTGAACATTTTGAAAGATTCATCGCGCATGATTCAACCTTCAACGGCAACATTCTAGTGCTACAACACCGAGCACATATACACTGTGTAACACACCGAAAGGCACAACCATCCGAAACATTGCACGACTCTCGCTCCGGATTTTCCCTTGTGCTGCTCAACCCCTGTTTAACGCACTGACAAATCCAACCACTGGCAATTGAAAGCAAAGTCCGGCCACCCAACCGCTGCCGCCTCCCCTGAATGCAGTAGATTCTGATGAGAAGACTCGGGTATCTCAATACCCCCCCCCTCGCGAACCAAAGTGGGAACTCTAAATCGCGTCACATACAGCCATAAATTCCACGTATACCCCCGCGACTTAGCGCGCCCGACGCGCTTCCATGAAAGGAAGTATACCACCGTTCCGCCCGCACCGCCCATAAACATTGCTAACCACCCGCGGTACTCGTCAGTATGAAACAAAAACATGCTAGGACTAAAATAAGTCAAAAATCAATTCTCCAGCTCTATAAAAGTACGATCAAATACAATCCGAATCACTACTCCCAACAGAGTCCTAGCTAATTTTAGCTACCAGTAAAATTTAAGCTAGAAACCAATAGCACGAGGAAGCCTGGCCTACCCCTTGAACAACTACATCGGCCGTTTAGAAAGACTCACCTTGACACCCACATGTCACCTCGCCAGTGACGTTTGGCATGGAACGAAAGGTATAAATTTCTGTGTTATGGCATCACTGAACTTTCGTCCAATCATATGTTTGAAATTTATGATCGTGTTCTTGAAGTTCGTGTTCACTGACTGTCGAGCGGCTACACCCATACTCCTGTTTTTAGGCGTAAAAGCAACGCAAGCCCTGAAAACGTGTAAACTGTCCAGAAGAACAAGAAGTAAGGCAAAAGGAAAGAAATAAGAAACAAGGCAAACTTACGGGGTTGCATGTAACGAGTAATCATTAGTGATTACTTCAATACCACCCTGACGAGCGATGCCGATGTAACAGTTCAAATTACCGATGTCGAAGCCGACAACAGACATGATCGCTGAAGATCGATACCGAAAATAAAAGCAAATGTGAGTGTAAAGTAGCACACAAGGTAAATGACGAAAAAGGCGGTAAACAGACTTCGAGTAAGACAAACACATCATCAGAAAGCAATCCTGAGATATACCCTACACCTTACTTAAGAAAAGTTGTGTTCGGCCTCAACTCTAAGTTCGATCGGTGACACCGATTACTAAAACAGTGAGTTACTCTCAAGACTACGCCCTTCTGTGACTCTCTCCTTCTTAATGTTAAAAGAAACTACTGTCTTCGCCATCTCAATCCAACGCAGTTCACGCGGAATAGCTGGCCAGCAAGTCACACTCACACTGGCGCTTCAAAAGAATAAGATAATCTGGAAGAAAGATCAGATCATGAACTAATTCGATTTCGCCCACCGGAAAGCCCAAAACCAAAAGTTACATATCTTTTTTCGCAGTATATCCCCGTATTCAGTTGGGCGCTGCCCCAAGTATACAGCTGCACAGTCACCAAACGACCAAAAAAGATGAGAAAGAGGACCTGGGGTACTCAACATCTGACTACACCACTCACTGGCGCAATTTGCAACAAACTGAATTTGGCCGGTGTCAGACTTCGCGAATCGAGCGATTCGCAAAATCTGACACTGGCCTAATGCTTTACTAGCGCATTCGTCCTACGCTGGTACTCATTTCTTTTCCCACAATGTTTTTGCCATCTCTTTTTTCGTAACCGACTATCCCTCTCGAAAAAGCATAGATCTAAGTTGCACAACAGAAACGACTTCGATGTTAAACGTTTCACAATTGCCAATCAACCTAGGAAGCTTTTCGATCATTTCGATTTTTCGTGCGAAAACCTAGGCTCCCAGACAATACCTAACCATTTGGGCGCGGCCGCGGGGAAAGCGGC